ATCAGATATTGTCCAAGATTAACCTTCAGCTCGCTAGCAGCCTCGCACCAAAGACCTATATCAACATCATCATTTACCCAGAATACTTTGCATGTAAATAAAATGGCCCCGTCCGTGTAATATATTTTTAAACTTTTAGTTTAAAAATTATAAAAACTGAACATCCTACAGTATTAGTAAATGAGGTTGGATTAATCAGGTGGTCTTTTTATGTCTGTAGGTGGAGAACAAGGTGTTGAAGCAGCGGATTCTGAACGATCCCGTAACGTATCCGGAGAGGTTCAGCSAAGAGGCCCGGTCCGTTTGCGAGGGTTTGCTGCGCAAAGAGGTGAACAAGAGGCTCGGGTTCAAGGAGGGGTCATGTGACGAGCTGAGGGCACACGCCTTCTTCCGCGAGATCAACTGGAGGAAACTGAACGCAGGTCAGAAACACAAGATGGTGGACCTCGCTGTTTTGTTTATTTCGTTTTTGACATTTTGTCTRGCTTCACTGCCTCCGAGACCTGGTTCAGTTCAAGTGTTAGAAGACGGACGGATGAATGGATGATGATTAATCTGGTCTCTTCAGGGATCCTGACTCCCCCCTTCGTCCCTGACTCCAAGACGGTGTATGCCAAGGACTTGGACGACGTCGGGGCGTTCTCCACAGTGAAAGGCGTGGCGCTGGAGGAGGCAGACCGGACGTTTTTCGACGAGTTCGCCTCGGGGAACATCCCAATCCCCTGGCAGGAGGAGATGATCGAGACCGGGATCTATGGGGAGCTCAACATCTGGGGCCCCGGGGGCGCTCTGCCCAACGACCTGCGGCGCGAGTCCATCCTGGAGCAGCCGCCCAAGTCCTCCACCTGCTCCGTTTCCTGAGAGAGGGATTACCGTGGCATGAACAGCTGCCCGTTAACAGGGGGTTTTACATGAACCGGTGTGGAAATTGGAAGTGGTAAAATTTACGATAAGACATTCTGAAATAATCACTTTTACAGGATTATTTTACTTTGGAAGCAACTTATTGCTTCCAAACGTTCAGTTATTTAATTTATTAACGTTAAACAAATGCTTTAAAATCCTTGCATCATAAAAATCTTTTTTTTTGTCTTAATGTAATTTTTTTTTTCATTAGTAAACTGCTTTATCTAACATTGTGTAACTATTTCCATTAATACTATGGTACATTTAAATTAATTATAGTGGATTTTTGTGTAATATAAGCTTATTTATTTATTTTTGTCATCCTTCCTATCTATTACCTAATATGATTAAAAGGTTTTCTATTGCCAATATTCCAATGTGGGCTCAACTACATTGTTTTATGTTTATGGATTTAGGTAATTAAAAAAAACTTGCATTTACGCTGTGATTTAAAAAAATTAATCTCCATTTTTCACTTCAGAAGGTTAATATTAGCAAATAAATTTACATATAGAAGTTTATTTTTTGTATTTTTTAGAATTTTTTTTCTAATTGTTTCAATTGTGAAATAAAAGTGTTGTACGTTACACATTTGTTTTATGATTACGTTTACAGAATTTCATGATATTTTGCTAACACAATCAGAGTTGATGGCAGTAGTTATTGCCAAAGTTTAAGCACATAAATCAAACAATGTCGTGCTCAGAATATTTGTTAGGGATGACGTTCAGCTACCACCACTCTGAACTTCAGCTTATTGTATGTAAAAGTGACCGAATTATAGCCATTTTTGTTTCGTTAGCTGTGGCGGCCATCTTGAACTGTGTCGACTTGAAACATTAATCAGGTATGAATACATTTAGGGACTATTTCTTGATGGTTTCATTAAAATATGTCCAGTGGTTCGTGAAATATTTTATTTTAAAAAACAAACAAATAAATGGAAAAATTTTGTTTTAAAACAAGTTTTTTTTCTTAAAATGAGCACASAAATTCAGAAAAATTAAAATACTTTATTTTAATTATCCTGATCTGATTTAATTCCTGTTGGTAAAAGCAAAAGAGAAATAAAGTGTATAAACCAGCAGAGGGTGCTGCAATTCTTCATTTGTTTTTGTCTCCACATCTCATCTTGTAAAGAGTCAATAACCCCATAAAACCTAAATACATGCATCATTTGATCATAAGGTGTCCCCACTTTCTAATAATTATCATATTTGTCAAATTAAACCAGCTCAAAACTTACAAAAGGTACATATATTAATTATTCATCATAGGTTGGTGATTGGGTTACCTTCCTCTCGCTCTCTGTCTCATTTTGTCTCAGGCTTGAAATAAAAGTTGAACGCTCCTGAGCTCCATCTCTCACACTCACTTCTAATCATCAGCTCAGACCTGTGGATTGTAACGACTGAACCGTCCCTTTGCTCAGTGGAGGATGAGGAGGACATTATCCTGAAGCAAMAGAGGACAAAAATCATCACCAGAACCTCCTCATCTGTTTTACATTTTTATTTTTATTATTTCAGATCCAACTGATTCAAAATGCAGCAGCCTGAAACAACGCAGAGGGCTCAGCAAACCACCACAGAACCACTGGATCCAACAGGTAAAACCAGCATCCTGACTTTTGTTTTCATCCAGTGTTTGCAAATAAAAATACCTGGAAAGACCGAAACAGGTTATTTTACTAGTTGGGCTTTTTATTAGCCACACTGTAAAACCTGATAAGCTAGAAGATTAAATAAAAACTAATTTCTGCTATTTTCTAGTCATTTAGATAATTGAGTTTGTTCTCATAATCCAAGTTGAAGGAAATTAAAGTGTATTTTAGG